CTCTTTTTTTTTTTTTTTTTTTTTTTTTTTTTTTTTTTGCTTCGGATGGGCCTAAATCAGGGTCTATTTTATGATTATTGTTGTTTTCACTGCTGAAACATTTGGGTCTGATTCAACTAAGAGATTAGGATGAACTAATAAGCTGCAGAGAGGATTGATTCATTAGCAGACAAAAATGCCTTTTTTTGTGGTTAATTTTACAGTTATTTTTAGTTTGATATATTTACATGCATACCACTCGATTCCTATGTATTCACATCTCTAGCTTCTAAACTTTAATTTTTTTATACATGTACCACTTTATCTTTGCATGAAAAGGTACATACAAAAGTTAAAATAGTGATAATTTTGATGTAAAATGAAAGATTTGGATTTTATTAACGTGAAAAAGTAAATTTTAGGTTTTAGATATGCAAATTTGTAGAAATTAGGTGGTATGGATGTTAAGGCTCTTTTTTATTTTTTTAGAATAGATTTAATTTTCTCTCTTCTTTTTATAGGGTCTGTTTGGGGCAGCTTGTAAAATACGGCCCGCAGGATGACCGCAGGTGTCGACCTGCTGCCTGTGTTTAATGTAAAAAACTCAAACGCGGCAGGTTGCATTTTAAAAAACGCGAAAACTAAACGGTTAGGCGGCGTTTTCAAAAACGTCGCCGCACTTATAAGCTACCCCAAACGTGCCCTGAGTCGGCAATTTTTTTTATGTTGTTGGAAACATGTCTGTGATCCTTTAATTAATTCGCTACATTTTTTACTTTTTAGTGTAAGTATGAAATATTTGTATGCATACCACACGATTCGCATGTATTTACATATCTAACTTCTAAACTTTAAAATTTTAATTTATTGGACAATATTCACGCGAGAAAAATATATGTATTTCATTATTGAAAATTTAATAATAATGATATTTCAATGTGATGTGAAATATTTAATTATTATAATTATAAAAAAAATTAAAATTTAGATGTTAAATGTGTAAATCCATAGGAATACATGGTATGTATGTGAATTTCCCTAAAATTTACAACACTTCGAAATACAATTTCCATGTACACCTAAAGAATAGAGCTTAGAAGAGTTGAGAGAGAAATAGAGAGAGCACAACAATGAACGCTAGAATGAGGAGATTGCATTTTTTTATGAAATGATCTCTTATTTATAGACACATGTGATACAATATATGGGGTTATATTTAATCCCCTAATTAAGTAGGTATTATATAGTTTATTGTAGTTATTTTACCCTTGTGGGCCCAAAGCCTTACTGCTCTCTGGCTCGGCCGACCAGATTGAGTAGAGCTTTTGGTGAGTTTTTTCATACATTGTCGGTGGCCTGCTGGTCGTAGATTGTGAGATCTAATCAACCAAAATTTTTAAATTGATCGGCATGGTTGGGTCGTCGGCCATTGATCTCTCCCAAGGAGCTCATGCTGACATGGTGAGGGCAGCTTTCCCTGAGAAAAGAGGATCCTTGTGAGATCTTTGAGACATCTCTTTATGGTATTTGCGAGGATGGCTGAATAATTCCGGTATGACTGTCTTGGGGATCAACAAATCTCTCGGATTGGCTTCATCATGATGCTGGGTTTAGACAACTCTTATTATATCGTTTAAATGAGCCACTATGGATTATAGTATTTTGACCGCTCTCATGATTGATGATCTCGAGTTCACTATGTCCAATCAGATATCTAGTTTGTTGATCCTTCTCTTGAGTATAAATACGAAATGTTTCTTATTAAAAAAATGTATCAAGATTCAAGCCAGATGATAAAAAGTTTTTGGTGGTTGCACCAAGGACAAAATTTCATCAAAATAATGTTTGCAAATTCATGTAACCTGCTTAAATGACATGTTGCTTACACTAACCATGTAAAAACGTCATAGTTTAGTTGATTGGTATTCTAATTAGAAAAAAATAAAATAAAAATGATTCTATCTTAGGGTCCGTTTAGGGCAGCTTATGTGGTGCGGTGGCGTTTTGAAAACGCATCTAGCCTGATTGTGTAAACTGCATTTTGGCAGCTTACACGTTTTCAAAACGCCGAAAACAACTTTTTTTTACCGCACATATCTAGATGCAGTGAGAACTTTCTGACAGATTATTTTTAATCAGCTTATCAATAGATTATTCTATAAGCCGCAGCTGCCCCAAACAGACCCTTAATGTTCATTTAGGGCGGCCATAATTTTTTATAAAGAAGATTGTAAAATTATTGTAGAGAATTTAACTATTTAAAATTATTATAGATATTAAAATATTTCAATTTAGAAAAAAAAATTATTTTTCTTTTAAATATCCTGCTTGTGTAGATATGACTATAAAAGACAACTTTTCATCACATAAAATTTTTCATATCAAGAAGGTAGTTATTAAACATATACATGAAAACATTCTGAAAAGTAGAGCAACCATAAAATTGCATGATACTTAAGTACTCCCAAAACCACAAAAAAATGATAACTTTATTGTTGAAATCAAAAGGAAATTACAAACAAGACATTTAAAATACGAAAATAATAATACAAACATAGACACACACACACATACATGTGCATGCATACATATAAAAAAAGAAAAAAAGAAATTGTATATTGTACATATAAGAATGTGTTTGCACGAATCTTAAAGCATATGGGTGACCCGCGAAGGAAGCATGACTGATCAGACGCAGCAGCAGACAATCATTTCTAGACGGGCAACATCAGAGAAAATACCTCACTGAACGATGGACAGAAGATGTCAAATGAAAGCTTCCCAAGACGGCCATGAGCCTTCAAAACGATTGATGGTAGCACTCCTTTGAACACCACATCGATCGAATCAGGACCTGTTAGGCGATCAACGATCGTCATCAATCGAATAGGTTTAGGGCTTATCTTATAAATTACCAAAAGGTCCCTTGAAAGGTTAATGATTCAGGGGTTAATATGTAATTTTATAATATTTGAATCTAGGCCTATAAATAGATGTTCATATCATGGATAAATGACATGTTTTGCATGTCTATTAATGCTCATTCACTCACTCTCGCTCTCTTAATCGTCTCATAATAAAATATTCGAATTTATACCATTCGTCACCGATTACGCTTTTTTTTTTCTCCTTGAAAGTTGAGCTCAAAGATAAAATATACAACTCAAATACAATTATTGATCTCATGAAGAGAAATTAAATCTTCAATTATTATATTGTAGGTGTAATTTTTTTTAATTATAAATAATCTTTGACTATTTATATGTAAATATTTATGTTAAAAGCATGGAATCTGATTATTTTTATTTTTAATACATTTATTAAGTTAATAATTAAGATTTTTTAGGGCGTCAAATGTCAAAAGTGTGACTAACGCAAGGTTGGCAACCGCCCAACTGACGTATACTGGGTCAAGTGGCAATATTGTAATACTACGAAGCAACGGTACGGCTGAAGGTTTATTTGTCGTTATCCATGGAGCTGATGCCGCTGTGCCGCCGCTTTGTTCTTGCGCCGACTCACACTCTTTAGCTGGCTGGAATCAGCGAGGGGAAGCTTGAGATCTTGATTTGTCCGCTCTCCATCAGATCGGGGCGTTGGATTCAAGCCCGATGACTTTCCTTCCGTTCCTCTGTGGGAGGTCATCTGATGTGTATGTTTTATGTTGGATTTAGGGCTTTCTTTCATCCTCTTTTGGTGTTCTTGATTTGGAGATGCTAACGAGCATGAGGGCGATTTGGGTGCAGGAGACAGCCGGATAGGAGGAATTTGGCCACATGGAGGGTTTTCTCTCTGAAGGAGCTGCATTCTGCGACGAACAGATTCAACTACGACAATAAGCTGGGTGAAGGGGGATTTGGAAGCGTCTATTGGGGACAACTCTGGGATGGATCTCAGGTATTTTTAATTCCCGATTTATTTCACTTTTGCGATGTTTATCTTATTGTATTTTTTTCACTGTTGAGAAACTATTGGCGAGGCTGAGGCGGTTCTATATCGCCTTTGGGTGGGACAAGACTGTGATGTTTTTAATTTGATTTGGTGGCTTGTGTGCTTCAAACAGTTCATTTTGGGTTCTATATGTTCTTACCACGCTTCCTGCTAACAATAAAGTATTTATTTTTTTTTTCATTTGTTTGCATTTATCTTTCTTAATTCATACATCATTGAGCTTGGTTATTGTCTTATTTGTAACATTTGGAGATCAAATTAATTCATGCAAATCTGATATTTATTGCTTTTTCCTTCTGCCATTTACTTTCATTGTTAAAAAGCTTGATGTTGTTGTAAAAGAGAAGTGGATGTTTATTTGTGGAATTTTATGTTTTGATTTTCACTGGCTTGAGATGGATCTTGGTTTAGTTGAAACTAACCAGATGCTTGGGTCATTTAGTCTATCGTTTAGATGATTTTTTTTTTAAATAATCAAATTAGTTTGTGTAGTAAGTGAAAGTTATGAACTGGTTATCTTTTTTTCTGTATTCAGTGTAGTTCATAGTTTGATGAAAATATGCTTCTTATGTTTGATTACATGTCCTTGAAGTGATATGATTTACTTGATTACATGGATGTGTTGCAAAAGTTATGGATGATTCTGATTCTACTATTTGTAGTTTTACCTTTGAAATATTATTGTTTTTATCTCTTTGAAGTCACCTAGAGTAGACATATACATCTGCCTAACGTGTTTTCCAAGATAAAGGAGGCCGTTTTCAGATATTTATATATGTTGGTATGTTTTCGGGCATTATATCAATTTATTTATGTGATTTTGTTTGGTTTACTTATATGCCGGTGATCAGGAGAGCAGGAGTTTGCACAATAGTAGATAATTTATGTGGAATTGTGAGATGATTCTGAGTGCCAATACCAGTATTGTAGCTTAACATGTTTATTAATGGGGCCTTCCTCACAAATAGCGATTGGGTAAATCATAAAAGCATATTCCTTGATGCTTCTATTCAAGGAGTTTGTGAATAACAACTTTTTCACTTTTCACATGCCAAAAGCCTAATATTTGTCATTTTTGTGTTTAATATGTTGAAGGTTTGTGGAACTTGATTTCTACTGATGATTGATTCTTTATTATAGATTCTTTCTTTACTAATGTAGATCCAACTCCGCTCTAAGTTGACAAGTGGTTGCTCGGCCTAGCATTCCTCAATGTAAAAAGCTTTTTGTAGCCCTCAATCAAAAAAAATATTGAAATATTCTTGTAATATGAGTATATTATTCATAATGTTTGGTGCGGTTAACAATACATGCATAAAATTGTATCAATTGGCCTTGAGTTCTAGTTTTTAGAAAGGGTCATATCCTATAATTTTATTTGAAGTTATATAGTCAAAGAAGTGTGGTTGTGGCTATTGGGTGGTTTTGTCTTCGAGCCATGTAAAATATCTATATCTTCTATGATCTTCTTTGTGATTTATTCTTTTATTACGGACAGTTGATTTAAAAACTTTGTTGTTGAGGCATCATTAAAGCAATAGAAGTGGAAAATGAAGTAAAGATGCTTCAATTTAATATATAATGAGGCATAACTGGGGTTTTGAATGATTTTTATTAAAAAATACTTCTATTTAAAGAAGCTGCATTAAATCTTTAGAGAGAAGTTAGTATAAACGCCAAAAGAAGATTAAAAGGACTTGAATTGAGAAATTGTAGAGTTGTTTTGATTGTCATTAGATCGGGAATAAAACTTTGAATACTAGAAATAAAAAGACTGATACGGCTAATCAAAATGCTATCCAATAAGTAGGAGGAACCTTCTTCCTTGAATATGGTATATTTGATCCCATGTATGCTCAATCTGAAGATGGATGTGGTTGCTTTATTATATAGACAAATAATTTTTACATTGATTAATTTAGATTATTTTGTTCTCTTTACTTTTCGTTTTTATTGGGTAATTGCAATAGTGCAATTTTTGTAGTTAATAATTCTAGATCAATAAAGTTAAACTTTGTAAAGTCCAGGATCTCATTCGGAGTGAGAATTTTATCAGAAAGAATCTGGTGAAGCTTCATGATCTGCATCTAGCATTAAACTACTATAAAAGATGTAAATTATAATATAGTGTCGTGACTTTTTGTGCACTAAGGGGTAGTGAAAGATGTGATGAAAATATTTCATAAAAATTAGGCATAGACATTACCTGATTTACCATTAGTTAGAAAGAATTTAACTTGGTTATGAAGAATAGGATGAGCATAAAAGGTACAAGGAAAAATTGGTTATGAAGAGCTTCCAACGAAGACATGATATTGACCAAATTGAGATACAGTTTTTTTCGCATATAATTGAATTTTGGGCAGCTACTTATCAATAATGATTTTCTTTGTAGAAGTCGTAATGGAGTTACTTGCATGGTACATCCCCCCAGCCTGTCTGCTAGCTTAACGAGTGAGTATATGGTTTGAAGCAATCTATGTTGCAGAACAAAAAAACAAGTTTCAATCATCTATAAGACATATCACAACATGGAAAAAGGTCAAGGATTTGTCATATACTATGAGTTTTGTAAGATAAGATGAAGATCCCAAAATGCTTCCAGTAGCTTAAGTTTGGATTCAATCATTATTATCACTATCTCCATCACAGGGGCATGAACATTTAAAGCTATTTATGAGGCTTTTCATGCATGGATGAGCCTCACTAAGAGCAATCCGGACAATTTCTATTTTCCTCTCTACTTATTAGAATGTCGCACATCCTTTCTCTGTCTTGAAGTCACAAACCGATGCAAAAAGGGAATTTCAGTCTCGCGTCTTTCCTTTCTACATGAGTAGCACTACATAAAGATGGCAGCATTAATAACAAGGGGAGTGGTTTGGAGTGGCAATAAAGCAAATAAATAAAAAAATCAAAAAAAAATCTTTTTTTTGCAAAGATTCCAATATATCAGCTATGGATGTATATCATAGTAGCATAAAGCGAACAATAAGTCTTAAAAAAAAAAAAGTTAAGATAAGGTGGTGGTACTTGAGCCTCGTTTTGGGTAATTTTGAGCCAAACATGACTCAAAAAATGGTTCAAGCTTATTTGATATAGGCGTAATCAAAATCTACAACCCTGCCTGGTGAGCAGTGTTGAAATAATAATGAATTTATGATTTGCATCTTTTCATCCACAGGAACTTGATAATCCTTGTACAACATGTTTCTATCTGCCGTAATTTAGTTATTCATTGGCATTAGCTTTCCATCTACTATGATCTAATAATTCATGGACAAGAAGGTTCTATTTCTATTGTCTAGTTAATTCTGGGTGTTAGAATTGAAGACTAGTTTCTAACTTGTTTATTTCAACTTCTCATCTTATTTCTTGCATTGAACGAAGGAAAAAAATTCAGCTGTACACTTTCTCCTTTTCCATGATCTTTTTCATCCTAATTTTTCTTTGAGGATAATAAACTTTTCTCTGCTACTTAAGTATTTTAATGGTGTTTTCTGTCTTTCAACTTAGATTGCTGTTAAAAGGTTAAAAGTGTGGAGCAATAAAGCAGAAATGGAGTTTGCTTCAGAAGTGGAAATTTTGGGGAGAGTGAGACACAAAAACCTTCTGTGCTTGCGTGGTTATTGTGCTGAAGGGCAAGAGCGCTTGATAGTCTATGACTACATGCCAAATTCAAGCTTAGTGGCACATCTTCATGGAGAACATTCAGGGGAAAACCATCTCAACTGGAGCAGACGCATGAATATTGCTGTAGGGTCTGCCGAGGGTATTGCGTAAGCTTATATACCATTTAAGCCTCAAGTCATGAGAAAAGTGTCAAAATGATCCTTTGACTTTTGTTGGGGGCTCAGACTTTTTCTAATGGGGGACTACAATAGTCCTTCTTTGGAACTATCTCAGCTCATGATAAAAGAGTTTGGAGATTAATTTGACACTTTTATAGAATCTGGGACTAATATGGTCCCACGTAAATAGTGAGGGGACAATTTTGGCACTTTACTTTCAGACCACCCTCTTATAACATATGGAGACTTCCATGGCCACATATCCGCCTAGATAACCAATTTTATAATTTTGTTTTTATTTTTTGGCTTTGCAGTTACCTTCACCACCATGCAACACCACATATAATCCATAGGGATGTCAAAGCAAGCAATTTTCTACTGGATTCTGAGTTCCAGGTCAGGGTTGCAGATTTTGGATTTGCCAAACTCATCCCTGAAGGTGCAACCCATGTTACCACAAGAGTTAAAGGTACCCTCGGCTATCTAGCTCCTGAATACGCATTGTTTGGTAAAGCTTCGGAGAGCTGCGATGTATACAGCTTTGGAATACTACTCCTAGAGCTTGCCAGTGGGAAAAAACCAATAGAGAAGTTGAGCCCGACTTGGAGGCGATCTATCTCAGAATGGGCACTTCCGTTAGCTCAGGAGAGGAGATTTGAAGAAATGGCAGATCCGAAGCTTAATGGAAACTATGTTGAAGACGAACTTAAAAGGATGGTACTTGTTGCACTGGTTTGTGCTCATGGTAGTCCTGAGAAGAGGCCTACAATGCTTGAAGTCGTGAACTTGCTGAAAGGGGAAGCCAATGAGAAGCTAGCCATTCTGGAGAATGATAAAATTTTTATGGGGGATCGAATTGGCACCAGCAGCAGATTCGTTGTTGCTAGAAATGGTTCAGATTGTAGACTTCAGGAGAATGAGGAAAAGGGTGAATGAGATGGGAAAGTGTAAAATGTTTGAATTATCATGTGCTTGTTGAAGTTTCATGATATACATGACAGGAAGAAGTAACCAAATTCAGCCATGTGGTCGAAGGCCGAATGTGGAATGCTTTTACACAGGTTAGTGTGACTATATGTTCATCTGTATTGCTTGCATAGCTTGGTTTTTTGTTTTTTGGCCTTTTTATCTCTTGTATTGAAATACTCCGGGGCTTCTTCTTCTTTCTCTACTTTGTTTTCTCTTCTTGTAATGAAGAGAAAAGTATAGGCTTCTGAACATCTGGTCACTGTATCTTTGTTTGTTTTTTTTTGTTTTTTTGGCATAATTAGTGGTGTACTCTTCTTTTTAAGAATACAGGGCTTTTTTTGGTCCTTTGCCATTGTAAAACTTTAATTCTAATTTAAATGCAAAGGTTTTCTTTATTGTATTTGTCATGTGAAACTAATAGTATTTAATATCATTATTTATATTTATATACATAACATTTATGTATTTAATATCACATCAAAAATATCATTATTACTAATATTTTCAAAGTGAAAAGCATAATTTCATGCATAAATTGATGATGCCAAAATGTTATAAATGTAAATATCAAACTTTAGGTGTTAGGAATTATTCTTTAGGTGTTAGGCATTATGTGGCTTGCATGTCAATTTCCCTAAAAAAGCAGCAAACTTTAAAGAATTAACTATTAAGTGCCATTGACCACACAAGCATTGCAATATATTTTGTAAAAGCCTTAGCTAATTGAGTGGTAATATCTATAAGATTGAAGCATACAATAACTTGTTTAATTTATTCATTAAGGAAATTTTATGGGGCATCAAATTTAACTAGTTTGCCCATTATATTCATGAAAAAAATACAAATATATATATATATAAAATAAAATATTAAACTATTATTGGCGCATTTTATGAGGATGATGACTACTATGGAAAAATCCATTTCACTATTTATAGCATCAAATATGATTCTACTAAATATTTTTAGATAAAAATAATTATTTAATACGTTTTTATACCCCATGCATACTTTTGATTAATCCACTCTCTCCTCATATAATATAAAGCATTCAAAGAAACTTTCTTCTCTTAATTATTAAAATCTTAACAAGAAGTTAAATCTTATTATAAATAATTTAACGCTAACATAAATTTTTACTTTAATTACTTATCCAAGTTAAGAAATTATATTCTATTTAAATGATGCTAAAATTATTGTATGGAAAACCCATAAGGGACATAAATCAAGGGATATGACTTAACTAAAATAATTCATGATATAAATAAGATTTCAAATCCTTGCTCTTTCTCTCAATTTAAAAAAGATGATGTTATTATGGAACTCTATCTTGGCCTTCTATATAGTTAAAGCAAAAAATGTTGGAGGAATGGTGAATGATTATAACAATGGTCCACTGATTGATGATGCTAAGTAGATGTCAATATCATCAATAATAAGTAGTCAACAAAGTGATGGTGAAGACAATGATGATCGAGTAATAGTGGTTGGTGATGATGATTATCAGCCTTGAACATTTGGTAGATGTTTTAGAGTTCATTAAATCTCCAAATTCTATTTATTGTACTTCATGGCCTTTTCCTATAAACATTGAAAATCCTTTTTATAACTTTATGGGCGGGGGTTTGATATTTTGATGAATTTAGTTAAATCTCCAAACACTATATTAAATGATTTATGTTGATTCTCTTGGGCAAAAAAAATTCTTATGACATGTAAATGTTTTAATACCATTAAAGTTATATGATCATATAGGCTTGTTAGATTTTATTATAACTTTCAAAGATAATTCCGCTCTTCTCATAATGCTATAAGAATTTGAGCTATGTTTTAAATATTTAATTTAAGTCTATCTGAACTCGAACCATAACAAAATTTAGTGATTGAGATTGTTTCATCCAAACGTCCAATTCAACCATAATATATTTTTAAAATTGACGTTCAAATGATACTGAATTTATCTCTCAAATGTAAAATTTAAAATATTAAATTTTTACATAATAATCATTTAAAATATTAGATAGATGTAATATTTTAAGTGTCCAAATTTTAAATATTATATTTTAATAAATTTGAACGATTAATATAATATATTTAATATTTTCGATGATTAAGATGTAAAATTCTCTTAAATATTACATTAAATTTTGACATACGTAAATCAAATTTGAAGGTAAAAAAGAATTTCGGGACAGTAGTCTTAAGACGTGTCAAAACCTGATTGGTCCACACACGTGTCCTTTTCAATTTTATCGCCTTCCCGACCCTCCCGACTCTCCCGACTCTCAGCGAATTCTCCGAGGAAGAAGTGTCCGAAACCCCCCGAGAAGAAATGCGGACGGCTCTCGTCGTCTTCCTCCTATTCCTCGCTTATTTCGGCTCCCCGACCGCCGCCCTCTACTCCGCCTCCTCCCCCGTCCTCCAATTGACTCCCTCCAACTTCAAATCTAAGGTACCATTTACTCCCCTCTTTCTCTCTTTCACTATCTTCATCACTGATCTTCTGAAATTCGTACATGTACCAGGTTCTAAACTCCAATGGTGTTGTTTTGGTGGAGTTCTTCGCGCCGTGGTGCGGACACTGCCAAGCCTTGACACCCATATGGGAAAAGGCCGCTGCCGTACTAAAAGGTGTCGTCTCTGTTGCTGCCCTAGATGCGGATGCGCACAAATCTCTTGCGCAGGTTCATATTCAATGTTAAGATAATTATAATTGATGGTTTAAACTTCAAACATTAAGCTGAATTGGTCTGTTTTTTGCATTATCAGTCATGTTTGGAGATGTAATTTATATTGATTATTGTAATTCAGAGATCTTCTTTTGTTTAGCGATATTATTACTTTTAACCATACTCATCTTGTTGTGGAAGAGTGTGGTGATACAATGCTTTTGAGCTTAAGTTTTACATTTATCCGTTAAAATTTGGTGTAGATTTTGTTGCTAAAATAACGATTCAAGCACTTGAAGAGTTCTTATTTGTCGCGTCAAATTTATAGGTTTTATGACTGTTCCAATTGGAAAATTCTTGTTCTACTGAAAATCTGAAAGTATATTAGTCTGAAGATGAAGCTTGCTATCATGAAATGCATGAATTTGTTTGACTGATGATACTCTCGAAATTTTAATTATTTTATAATTAGCATAACATCAGCCATGCTGAGCGCTACTTAATTTCTTTTTTATTAATTACTTTCATGCGAGTATAGAGTTTCGAATTGTAGATTTCTCTTTGGGTCTAATGGCCTTCCTAATGAAAGAAGAAGGATGACCTACCTAATGAAATGAAAAACACGAGCTGGAATATGTTTACGTGAGGTTGATCAGTTTTAAATGTGATTCAATAAAGTTTTTGTAACTCCACAAATATGTAATACAAATAGGGTCAAAAAAAGGTTTTATATGATTTAGCTAGATTAAAAATAAAGACTTGATATAAATTACAAGTGACCAAGAAGCTAACAGATGAATGGCAAAATAATATTCTATGTAAACTTGATTCTCTTTGATCACCTGTGTGCCAATGTGCCATCAATATGAACTCTTTTATGAAGTTTCTTTATGATGCAATACCTTGGGTGAAATAATAATTTTTTTTAAGAGCTTGTTTCAATGCACACTTTTCCTGGTTTAAATTGCCAGTTTTTGATATTTCAAGACATCCTTATTGACCATATTTATTTATTTAATTTTATATAGGAATATGGAATTAAAGGATTTCCTACAATAAAGGTATTTGCACCTGGTAAACCTCCAGTAGATTACCAGGGAGCAAGGGATGTTAAGCCTATTGCAGAATTTGCTCTTCAACAGGTTTGTTTAAGTTCATTTTTTTAAAATATGTTTTTTGCATCATTGCTTTTGGTATGCAATTTTTTTTCATTATCATTGAAAGCATCATCGAGTGCCAATTGTTTCTCTTTTCTCTTTCAGGCTACATATGAAATAAAAAGTTTAAATTAGGAATTTTTGTTATCTTTTATTGATTTGGATATCTCTCATTGTGTTGTTGCAACGATGTAGTGGATAATAACTACTATTAACATGGGATTATTTTATAGGGTCAATTACATACAAAGCTTCCAAAACATTGCTATTTACGAACGTAGACATTTCTTTCAACCATTTTTTAAATTATCACTCAAATATCAAAATTCATGATAAAACCCCAAACCATATTTTTCATTTTTATCGACTCATGGTTTGATCATGGCTCGCGCAGATACATCGGGTCGGTAGTTCAAAAATATCACATGAGTGCTAGATTTTGTAAATAGCAATGTTTCGGGTGCTCTGTATGTAATTATATATATTTTTTATTCAATTAAGAGATAATGAAAATTCGAGGGTATTTTGGGCTCTTTTGATATGCTTTTCTAATGTTTGAAGCTCATTGGAAAAGGCATTGAAGGGAAACCAGCCGCAGGTAATCAAACTATGACATATCTGGAAAAGTCAATAAGTGTGTTGAAATAGTTAAATAGGGGATGACTATACTTCTTGGATTTTGCCATGAGTTTTGATACAGGCATCTAAAATGCTTATGGGAGTTTCTTCTAAGTATTTATGTAGAATATTATTCCTGGAATAGATCTATGTATGACCGCAAAATCATATTTTTACAGCAACCTGTATGTACTGATTACTCATATGATGGATGTGGTTGATTCTCTACTTCACATTAGACATCTTCTAATGTCTTTTTTATGTTATTATAAAAGCGAGATGCTGTTTTAATGCACAGATTAAGGCTCTCCTAAAGGAACGGTTAAATGGCAAGTCTACGAGTGGTTCAGGTGAAAAATCTGAACCAAGTGCCTCGATAGAACTGACATCTCAAAATTTTGATAAAGAGGTTATTAAGAGCAAGGAACTGTGGATTGTAAAATTCTTTGCACCTTGGTACGTAGCTCTACCAGTAAACCTTATATTGATCTACATGAATATAAATTTACCTGGGTTCAGTTTATATGGATACTTTTGAGATTCTTTGAATATTCTCAACCAAATGCTAACCGACTATAGTTAGTTCCACTGTGAGGCGATGTGTCCCTTTTATTTATAGTTTCATTTTATATGTAACATACTTATACTGGTCAGTAGCTTGACAAGAAAGCACAGAAAGATAAATCCAAAATTTAAAGGCTCTCCTAAAGGAACGGTTAAGGCTCTCCTAAAGGAACGGTTAAATGCACAGGTTAAGGCTCTCCTAAAGGAACGGTTAAATGGCAAGTCTACGAGTGGTTCAGGTGAAAAATCTGAACCAAGTGCCTCGATAGAACTGACATCTCAAAATTTTGATAAAGAGGTTATTAAGAGCAAGGAACTGTGGATTGTAAAATTCTTTGCACCTTGGTACGTAGCTCTACCAGTAAACCTTATATTGATCTACATGAATATAAATTTACCTGGGTTCAGTTTATGTTGATACTTTTGAGATTCTTTGAATATTCTCAACCAAATGCTAACCGACTATAGTTAGTTCCACTGTGAGGCGATGTGTCCCTTTTATTTATAGTTTCATTTTATATGTAACATACTTATACTGGTCAGTAGCTTGACAAGAAAGCACAGAAAGATAAATCCAAAATTTAAAGGCTCTCCTAAAGGAACGGTTAAGGCTCTCCTAAAGGAACGGTTAAATGGCAAGTCTACGAGTGGTTCAGGTGAAAAATCTGAACCAAGTGCCTCGATAGAACTGACATCTCAAAATTTTGATAAAGAGGTTATTAAGAGCAAGGAACTGTGGATTGTAAAATTCTTTGCACCTTGGTACGTAGCTCTACCAGTAAACCTTATATTGATCTACATGAATATAAATTTACCTGGGTTCAGTTTATATGGATACTTTTGAGATTCTTTGAATATTCTCAACCAAATGCTAACCGACTATAGTTAGTTCCACTGTGAGGCGAACCATTTCCCTTTTATTTATAATTTCATTTCATATGTAACAGACTTATGCTGGTAATGTTGCATTATTTTTTAATTTTTTTCCATTATAGTTTGATAATGCTTTATTAACTATAAGCTGTCATTCTATTTATTGCTTGTTTTAAATCTTGGATTTATCTTTCTGTGCTTTCTTGTCAAGCTACTGACCAGTATAAGTATGTTACATATAAAATGAAACCGCTTTTAAGTATATTCATGGCAAAGTCTTATTAACACTGATTGTTTTGGGGTCTAAGATTTCTAATGTAAGTTCAACAAATAATTTAGTTCTAGATGCAACCAAAAAACAAAACAAACATGCAATTTTTAATAGTATTTAACAACTATTTTCCATTTTTTGCGAAGTAAAAAAAATTATAAAACTCTTTCATGTTAAAATATTTATTGTTTCGTACTAGATATTAATAACACGAACAAAGTTAAACATTATAAAGAGACTCATTAAAGAAGCCAACGTTGGGAGATAGACGCAATTCGAGCTATCTGGGAAGCAAAAGGACTTGCGACGCACATTCATCTCTGTCTATAGCCAATGATGGGATCACGACATACAGAGTTTGCGCTTTTTGGAGTTCCGCGCGATGCCAAAAATTTGTTTTGAACCCGCATATAGGAATTCTGGGATTGCGGAGTCCAAAGTTATGTGCGATATGTAGGAGTTATGGTCCGACCCACATACAAGAATTCATGATTGTGCGTTTATGGAGTTTCACAAGACGTATGCTTCAAACCAACATGCAAAGATTTCAGAGTCGTAGCGTCTAGAATTCCATGCAGCGTGAAGGAGTTCCACGATGAAGGTCGAACCGCGTGTAGAGTTTCTCGCGATTGAGATAGCTAAGGAATCAAACGAGATTGCTGCATAAGGGAGTTTCAAAATCGTCCATGAGTAATGACAACTAAAAATGTAGATGTTTTAGAGGAAAAACTCGTAAAAGAGGTCAGTCAAATTAAATGTAGAATAGAGGAGCATTTTTTAGCATTGGAGGGAAAGTTAGAGGGTAGATTCTCAGCCCTAAAAGAAATGACACAGAAGATTGTAGATTCCTACACAAACCTTTCGCTGCTTGCATTGGGATCAAGCGACGTCTGGAACTAATGCAAGCTACAAGAATCAGAAGAATTCGCATGCCATCAGGTAACGTTGATGTCTCAGTCTGGAACTAATGCAAGCTACAAGAATCAGTAGAATTCGCATGCCATCAGGTAACGTTGATGTCTCAGGTGGATTTGGAGCTGTAGGATCAGGCGAAGGAATGAAAATAATACTCAAACGAATGCTTTTAAATTCAAATGTAGACCTCTATAATTCAAGTTTTGGTGAACTCTTTCTCTTTTTTTATTCACAAAAAAGATATCAACATAAAGCAGACGATAAAGTCAATCCTCTTGTAAATGTCCAATAAGAGCATCCAGATATTTGCTTAAGATCAATCCCTGATGTAATCCAACTAAAATAGGAAAATACTTGGTCAATCCTCCTCTTGTTCGAACACGACAACTCTAGTATACATATATTTAATGACTTGACTATAAGTCATATCAACACCATTCTTTTCTAGAATTCTCTAAAGTACTTCTATTGGAACCTTATTGTAAGTTTTTTCTAGATCAATAAGATTCATATCTAGATCCTCCTTACTCTCTTTGTACTTCTCCTATCAAAACTCTCAATAAATGTATGGCTTCTATAGTGGACTCGCCCGACATAAATCCAAATTGATTATGAGAAATCTTTGCATCATGTCTTAACTTATGTTCAATTACTCTCTGCCATAATTTTAATTTATGACACATTTATTTAATTTCTCTATAATTTGCACACTCTTGTGCATGTCTTTTGTTTTTAAAAATGAGGACCAAAATACTCTTCCTCCATATTTAGACTTCTTTTTAATTTTTAAAATAATATTAAAGAGTTTAGTAAGTCAAGAAACTATCAAATCTCTTGAATATTTTCTCACTTTAAATGGGATATCATCAGATCTTATTGATTTTTCACCATTGGTTTTTTGAAAACCTCCTCAACTTTCTTTTTACTAAAGTCACGGTAAAAATAAAAAAGTTTTATTATTATTAACGATATTAAGATTACTAAAGTTGATCGTATTTTTAGAAAATTCATTGAAAAATTATCAAAGCATTTCACACACCTATGTTGATTATCTTCTTCTAAGAAAAAACACTTTTTGATTTTCATCTTTAATACACTTTATTTGAATTAAATTTTTACTTTTCATTTGTTTGTTTGACTAGTTTATACATAGGGTCGTTAAGTTTCCAATTTCGAGCCAAGCTGGGGTTGGCTCAAAATCTTCTCAAAAAAATTTGTTCCAAAAATTTGGCTCGTAGTTTGGCTCTTTTGTCTTGATCCGATCTCGATCAGAGCCAAAATTTGAATAAATTTTCAAGTCATTAACGATCTTCGAGCTAAATTTGCTAAATTTACCTCCCTAACATCAGTAGGCTTGTTAATGATTCAATTTCAAGCTGAGTTTGAGTCTGTTCAAAATCAGTTCGAAAAACATTTCGATTCAAAATTATTGCTCATAGCTTGGCTCATTTATTTCGATCCAAACTAAAATTCAAATCCGTTTTCGAGCGATTAACGATATTCGAGCTAAATCCATAGCTCTATTTATACATATATTTTTCACCCTCTTAGACTCTCTACAGGCTATCTTATATTTTTGCCCGTTCTCTAAACTTTTACATTTAAACTAATTTTTATAATAAAATTTATTATATTTTATCTTTTCTTCCACTTCACCTAAACTATTTTTATTTATAAAAAAAATTTCTTTTGATCATGCAAGCACATCTTTTGTCATTTGTTTTATAGTGTTTGTTACTTTATCCCACATAGAATTAGCTTCTTCATGACATCTCAAATCTTAAAATTTTGAAATTTACTCGTAAAAATAATTTTATTTTATTTTTAGGTGCCCTCTGTTAATTCTATGACAATGTTTTATTGTATTTTTTTCTTTCAACTCCTCATCTTAAAATTCAGAACTAATAATCGACATTGAATACTTAAATTTACACTTTGAATGACCTTATTATCTTGATATTTTCGACGATCTCTTGTTCTCATAAGAAAATAATTAGTTTGTGTTTTATTAGATCTATTCTTATAAGTAATAATATGTTGATCTCCTTTTTTTAATTAAAATATTATCAATAACAAAATTATAAATTAAAGTAATATCTAATATGGTTCTACATTCTTTATCAATCACTCCAAAAACGTAGCCACCATGAATATTTCTAAAATGTTCTATCACTCTACAAACATGCCATTTAAATCTTCTTCAATGAAATTTTTTTCTTCAAAATGTATCATTTGTATTAATTCTTTTAGATCATTTCAATTTTTTTTAGCCAATATCTAAACCTACTTCATAGAATCAAAGAGCTTATAAATTTTATGTTATATAGTTATAGTATAAAACAATCCCTAAGGGTTCTTTTAAGTAAATTATTCCAATGACTAGAGTGGAATCCCAATGCTAAAAGTAGTCGCTGCCGTAGCAATGCTTGTAGAATTGGGGATGTGGAGCGTGGTCGCATTCGGATGGGCTTGTTGCACTTTATCTTTTGTATACATGGAATGCCAATATTAGTAATTTTACTTGATTTGTATTACTTCTTACAACTTAATAAACACAAAATGATTGTATAATATATTTTATAGAAAAAAATTTTAAACATTATAATGAATTTAACTGAATTAAAATTTGGGCTTTATTACGTTTCTATAGGTCAATTACTTATTTAATACAATTTAAGCATTATTAAGCCTCATTAGGAATGTTTAACAGAATTACTAGATGAATTTGATTTGTAATGTTTGCCAGATTATTGATGAGGTTTATAATTTAAAAATGTTTTGAATCATATTTAATAGGAAATATTACATACATCACAATTATTATGTATTTACA